CAATGTCTACAGGATGAAGTCTAATCTCTGGAACCTTACAAGACAATCCCAGATTGCTCATAACTATCTCTTTAATTTGCTCTCTGATGACCTTCCTCCTGAACCTTCCATTCCCTCAATGGATCTAGTCATACAGTTTTCTGCTTTGTTCACACCATTCCTTTGGCCCTGAACACACTCCCCTCCCTGTTCCTGTAAAGCCCATTCCTATGTAAGTACATTTCTCTCAGAGCCCAGCTTGTTTGCTTTCATGCTTTTTTTTTTTTAAATTTCAAACCAACCTTCTCTGTGATATCTCTCTCCAATGACCAACCCATGATTGATTATTTACCTGTCATGAATTCTTCAAGCATTTTTGTATAGATTACTCATTGGCTTATACAAGGGTTCTTATATATGTTAATAGTCTTCTTGTGTACTTATCATCCTCCGTAATTAGAATGTCAACTCCTCGAAGACAGGGGTCATAGACCTCATAGCTCCCTAGCACATGGTAGTAGCAAATACGTTAACAATAATAATGATGACTAAATTTAAAAAGCAAGCTATGATCATCTGTCTGCAGACAATATATTAACGATCCTCACAAACACACTTTCTCAGGAAAACAAAATAGAAATGGGAAGATAAAGGAAGCAACATGAATAGCCTCATCTCCTTCATGAAGTGTGCCACTTACTTCCTTTTACATTTAATCTGGGCATGTGAGAATTATGTAAAAATACATTTAAAACTGTAAAGTCCTATATAAATGGAAAGTATTTATCATGAACATCACAGTCGCTATGCTTGGAATGTTTAGGAATTCTTGGCATGATTTCTAAAGGTCCAGAGAAAGTGGAATTAATTAAAGCAGTGGTTGTCTACTGGGGACAATTCTGGCAATGTCTGGAGACATTTCTGACTGTCACAAATGAGGGGATGCTGCAGACTTCTAGTGGAGAGAGGTCGGGGCATGCTGTGAACGTTATACAATGTACAGGATGGCAGTCTACAACAGTTATCTGCCTGCAAGTGTCAGCAGTGCCCAGGGAGAGAAGCCCCAGGTTAAAGGAAGCTCATCAGGGGATAAGTACCAAATATTTCTGCGTGGGGCAGGGAGATGAGCTGCTCACTTCCCGGGACAGGTGGACCCCTGCATCCTAACTTGTTCACAGTATCCTGACACCTGCACCCATTGCTCCAGAATTCCCCTTCTCTTCTGGTTCCTATGTGATCTTTCAAATGTCTGTTATCAATATGCCCAGCCTATGATGTCTGGGAATTAACCTATCCTTATTCAGATGTTTTAAAACGACTCTGATTTCTCTAAGACAGAAGATACTGATAAACTCCAGAAGTTAACGAAGTCAATCTGTAACTTTGGATATGGGACAAACTGTATAGTACATAAAAAAAAAAAAAAAATCCCCTTGTTGCTTAAATAAATGAGAACAGTGAGTGTATTTGAGCAGTGTGGGTACCACAAAACTAAAAATCTTCCTCATCAACTGAAAATTCATAGATTTAAATAACTACTAAAAACACAGAGTTGAAAACAGCCTGGAACAGTTTGAGAAAATTCTTTCTTTGCACATACATGTTTTTGCTCTAATGATGTTTTTGATCAAGAACTGCTGTTGAACTAAAAACACTGGATGGGGTTTTCTTTGTTTTTAAGGCTTAGCTAAGCTATGATAGCTAGCTCCCAACAAAATACTCAAGAAATAATGGCAATTTTAAAGCATCACAAAGTGGTGCATGTAAAGAGGATCATTTATTAAAAAAATTACCTTTGCATGGAAATAGAAAACATCATAAAACACACTATGCCCCAATATCAAATGATGTAATAATCCTTGGACAAGTTTTTCTTCCCTCTAGGCCTGTTTTCTCACCTTAAAATAGGAAATTCTGATTAACCAACGTTCTCTCAAAGATCTCCAGTTTTAAAACCCTCTGAATTTATGATTCTATCCAGTGTTTCTTAATGGATCATTTTCAGAGGTAAGAAATGGGCTTGTGGACAAATCTTCTGAATAGGTGACCTAGGCTGGAAGTCCTCAGTTCTAGACCTAGACAGAGGAATCACCTCAGGAATTTAAAAAAAAAAATAACCTAACACACAGCAGTTTCCGATTTAATTGGTCTAGGGTGGGATCAAGCATGGATAGTTTAAATGCTCTACAGGGGGGATTCGAATGTGCAGCAAGTCCTAACATCTACAGATAGATGTAGACTAAGGGTTGCAAATGCAACGAGGGCCCAGGTACGTGTGACAAATGAGCAACGCAGACTGGGCGTAAGAAACTGGAGAACACATATCCCACCTATTTCAGTAGGAATAAGCCAGATCTTTCGATTTTTTTTTTTCCCAAGAAATGCCAGAACTCGGGGCGCCTGTGGCTCAGTCGGTTAAGCCTCTGCCTTTGGCTCAGGTCATGATCCCGGAGCCCCGCATCAGGCCCCTTGCTCAGCGGGGAGCCTGCTTTTCCCTCTCCTCCCTGCTTGTGCTCGCTCTCTCTCACTATCTCTGTTGCTTTCTCTCTCTCAAATAAATAAATAAAATCTTAAAAAAAAAAAAAGAAATGCCAGAAATCCAGATTTTAAGTGAGAATCAGATGTTTAAATATTGACAACTAATTCCAAACAATTTTAAAAGAAAGTGTAGGTCACACAAAATGTACCCACGGGCTTTATTTGGCTTTCTAGCCAGCAGTGTGCAACCTCAACTAAACGAGTTCCATAAATCAAAGACGACTTTTTCTCTGTGCTCTGTCCTGTCTCTCCTATTCAGAGCCTCTTCCTCCCATACCTGGGTCAGAGCCTATCCCTTTCCTTCTCCTTTCCATTGTCTCTTTCTTTTCCAGTCTTCTTCATCACTCCTAAAAGATGGAAACTGAGATCCACACATTAAATCTTCATGTGGCCCCGGCTGTATCACTGGACAGAATTGTATGCCTGGGAAAATCCAGGCTGTGAATTGTAACCTAAGGCTGTGGTTCCATGACGTCAACGACTGGTTGGTTTAGTCAAATCAGGGGAAAAGTCAGTCAAGCTCACAATTCTGAATAACTTAGACTTTATCAGACAACATATGGAGGTCTTCATTTAAATTCTGACTTTATTTTGTTTGCTTTAAAATCTAAGCCACTGTAATTAGAATCATCCTGGGTGTTTTTAAAAATATTCCCAAGTCTGGGCTCCACCCCACGCCAACTACATCTGAAGGTCTGGAAATGGAGTCTGGACACTGGTAGCTTTTAAAAGACCCCAAGTTGGGGGTGGCTGGGTGACTCAGTGGGCTGAGTGTCCAGCTCATGTTTTCGGCTCAGGTCGTGATCTCAAGAATCATGGGATCTGGGCTTAGTGGGGAGCCTGCTTGGATTCTCTCCCTCTGCCCCTCCCCCCACTTGCTCCTGCACGCTCTCATTCTCTCTCTCTCTAATAAATAAATAAATAAATCTTTAAAAAAGTAAATAAAAAAATAAAAATAAAAGAACCCAAGTGGGTCTAATGTGAAGGCAGAGTGGAGAATCACTAATCTAAACTCGTCCCCTAAACCTGTGGATTAGCAGCACATTTAACTCCAGATGATTAACATCTTGAGTACTTCTTTTAGCTTGTTCAAGGATTTCCTCAGCTCTGTTCTCATTTATCTTCAAAACTCTGTGAGTTAGGCAGCTTGGACACTATTTATTAGCATTGGACAAATGAGAAAATGAGGCATAAAAATGTTAAATGATTTGCACAAGTGCACCCAGCTAATTATTGGCGAAGACACATTGTAACTCTACCTGAGGCAGAGTTCCTTGATTTTAAGCCTGGTTTTTGCAAAGTTTCCCCCAAACACAGGGCCTTCCTGATCACTGAATTCCTTTACTGTTATTAAGTAACCCTAACACATAGGTGGGTACTAGAAAACCAATGACTATAATGTGATCAAATTTCAGAAGTAAGTGTAACTGTTTTTAAAAGACGCGGTTTAGGGTCAGTGGTCCAAGGTGTCTTTTTCTGAAGTCTATGGTGCGATTTTGAAAGTGCTTACTTTGACACACATCCTTCCCCCCACCCCCACATCACCCTTCATAGTTTCCATTAAGATATTATTTTCAGAAAAGTATTTTAAATGATTAAATATGCACAGAATATTGGAGGTAAGGGGAACTTTACTGATCGACTTTCCCACCACCTCTGATAGACGAGAAACCTGAAGTCCCTTTTAATTCAATATATATGGAGTGTTACCATGGTGCCAAGCGCTTCACACCATTATCTTCATTAAATCTTCAGGATAACTCAGTAAGATAGGTACCACTACGACCACCACCGTTATCTTCATTCCCATTTAACAAATGAAAAAACAAAGCCCCATGTCAGGTTCCACACTCAGCAGGGAGTCTGCTTGAGGATTCTCTCTCCCTCCCCCCCCCCACCCTTCCCTCTCCCAGCTCTCTCTCTCAAATAAATAAATAAAATCTTTAAAAACAAAAACACTAAGGTTTAGAGATGCTGAAAACTTTCCCAGTGTCCCTGGGCTGGTAAGTTGGAACCCAGCCTGTGCCTCATCTCCTGCCTTCCATCACCTGGAGAGACAAAAGTGCAAAAAGGAAAAGATAAATCCTTATGAAAATGCTAAGAGATGCTCAGTGAACACTGATTTGAAAAGGGAGAAAAGAGGCATTTGGGCTAGGCCTTCACAAATACACAGAATGACAGTAGGCATTCTAGTCCAGAATCAACACTCATACTGAGGCAGAAAAGCCACAGGGAGAGCACAGGGTGAACTGTGAGAAAGATGGAAAGAGAAGAGGTGTCAGACCGTGGAGGGTCCTGAGTGCCCAGCTAAGGAATTGAGACTTTAATTTTAGGCCAGGGGAACCCCCTGAAGGTTTTTAGAAGCAAAGTCACTAGAAAAATGCAAACTGAGTTTTAGAAATACAGATCCCATGGAAGTGTGGAGACTGAATTAGGGGAGCAGGGCTTGGTACCCAAGGAGAGCAACTAGAAAGCTGTTCTACCTCATGAATTCTCTGCTTCACTCTTCACCACGTATTGTGCTTGTGTGAAGCACTGGTTTCTTCAGGGAACCTCCACATCTGCTTCATGATCCTTGTATCCCAGCACACGACTTGCATTGCCATGTCTAGGACAGATGACAGGGACCTGAACTTGAGCAGTGGGAATGGAGATGAGAAGACAGGTTTGAGAGGCATTTGCAAGGGCCTGGTAACTGCTCAGAAGTGGGGAGAAGGTAAGAGGGAAAGAGAAGCAGAGTAAAGAAACCTCTCACATCTTCGCTTGGGAGAAAGAGGAATAATGGGATCTAGAAAGGAAGGGATAGTCAACAGCAGCATAAAGAAGTGAACGAGATGACTAAAGTCTCAATCTGAGAGGCATTTATTAAGCAGCTACTCTGTGCTGGGCATTAGGGGAACAATAATGAGTAAGATTGGTTTTCGCCCGCAAGTATCACCCAGAGGGAGGAAAAATACAAGACTAGAATAGACAGATGCCTGGCCTCCTAGTCTCTGGACAAACGTCACCCTCCCACACAGGCCCTGCTCGAGGGTCATCTATTTCTAGTGCCCTCCCCCATCACATGATCCTGTTTTATTTCTCCCTTACCCTAACAAATACCTGAAATTCATTATATGTGCATTTATTGTCTCTTTCCCCCAGGAGAAGGGAAACTCCACAGAAGCACAAACTTTATCTAGTTCCATATAATAAGTCCTCAGTAGGAAATATGTATTGAATATTTGGGGGGGATGAGGGGGGTTAACACACCTCATCAAGGTTTTAAGACCTCAAACCAAACTAGGCAAGTTTCCTAAATACCTAAGGTGACATGCTGAGAATTGAAGTGACTCAGAAGAGTAAAGCCATTTTGAGGCTGGGGCGGAAGCAAAATCCAGGATCAGTGCCTCATCTTGACAGTTTCGCATAGATTTCAGGAGTACCCACCCAGCGTGAGATGTTTCAACAATGAGGCCAGCCAGCCACCTAGCTCAGGTTTTATTTCCGTTGTCCTTCTGACGTCAGAAAAAGCACGAGTTGCTGCACAGTTTCTTCTATCAAGGTGACAAATTACAGCCTTGCTGTTCTCCGCAGTCTGCAAACCACAGCCTTATTCTCTCCTCCCCCTTATATTAAAAAAAATTAACTCCACTGCAGAGATGTCAAACCCCCTTCGCATACAAATAAATACCGTTCCTTAGCGCTGGGGTCTTTTTCACTCTTAACTACACACATCACCATGGATTCGTCTGAGAAAAAGTACGTGATCCTGGCGGCGGTAAGGTTTCCACGAAACAGTGCTATAAAAACTGGGTCCGAGCCGCAGAGCGAGACACAAAGGGCTCTCAACTGTAGCACCACCTTCCCAAGCCCGAGACAGCCTGTGAAAGGCATCCCGAAATGCGGTGAGGCGGTGACCGCGAAATTCCTTTTGCCGCCATATGCTCTTGTGTATCCTCCGAATACAGTTCACCCTAAACCCAGGGGCGGGCGACTCCGCAGGGAAGCAGCGCCCAGGCAGCCCCGTAACCTGCGGGGTCCCAGTGGGTGCTGAGGAGCCAGACGCTCAGGGAGGCGCCCCAGGGGGCGCACTAGGGCGAAGGAGCGCTTTCCTCCCGGCACCGACGCGGCGAGTTCAAAGGCCTTTTGTGGCCACGTTTAGGGACGCGAGCGAGGCGCCAGGGACCGCAGGAGGGAAGGGGAGAGGAGGCGAGGGCAGTCCGCGCCCGGGCCCCGCGCGAGCGGTGGCCTTTTGTTCGCCAGCTCCCGCGGAATCCAGCTCTCAGAACAGCACTTCTCTTTCTCCCCTTCTTCATGTTGGAAAGCACCTCTTCAGGGCGGGAAAGGACAGTGAATCCCCGCCAGCTTCCTTTAGTAATCTTCCCCCCGCATCCTCCTACTCTAGGCTACTGAGAGAGGGGGCAGAGCTCGAGGAAGGGGCTGCAAACGTGCTCCTGTTTACTCACGCTCGGCGGCTCGGTTCCCCCGCGGCGCCCAGTCCCCCCAGCCCCAGCCGGCCCCACGCACACCCCCGGGGGCATCACATGCTCTCCTCTGGGCCCTGCGGACGCAGGAAATTGTTCCCAAATGTCCAGGATTCGAACACTCCTCGGGTATGCAGTAGCGCCCTCTCGGCCGCTGCGCTCTCCCTCCAGACCCGCGTGGTCCCCGAGCCTAAGTACCATTTAACCAGCTCGCGTGCCACACTCTGCCGCTATGAAACAGACCCAAAAAGTAAGCCACAGCCCACGCAAAGGTGAAATCTGGGGCCCCTACGCCGCCTTACGCTACCGCGTGTGTTCGGAGAACAGAGGATCTGGACTTTTCCTGTAATGCAAGCAAAATCCGAACGCCGCCGGTAGAACCGCTCACTCCTTCCTTCCATGCCCGCTTGGGTGACTTGTACGTTACCACCTCCACTCGCATCCAAAACATCCCTTTCCTCCCTGCCACCGCTCCCTGGGCTCCCCCTGGAAAAGCAGAATCGCCTTACCTTGGGCAATAAAGGGGAAAGTGGCAAAAGGAGACCAGGTGTCCGCCCTTCCGGGGTTCCCCCCGGCCGTGTGATGTCCTTTGTGTCACGGTCTGGCTGCCTCCGCGGGGAAAAGGTGGCCTCCGTCAGCGAGGGCTGGGCGGGGAGGGTTCGCGCGCGGTGGCGGATTTCCGAGGAAGGTGAAGGGCGGAGGTTCCCAGCGACCTTCAGGCAGAGCGGCGTGGCCACCCCAGCCCGCGCTCTCTGGCTCTCCTCCTCCTTTCCGGGCCGATTGCATCAGAATCTCCCTCCACCGCCAACCCCCACCCACACTCTGCTCGCTAGCCTCGCACTTACATCCACACGCTCTGGCACGGAGGGTCTCGAACCGCAGTCATTCTCCTACTGGGGGGCGCGTCGCCTTTGCGCTTCCATGGCTCGTGATGGTTTAAAGGGGGAAAGTCAGGCCACTCCTCCGCGTCCCGCGTCCCGCCGCCTCCCCTCCCGCGCGCCCGCTTTTTGACCAAAGCTGCTTGTCACTGAGCGGTGCCCGTCACATGGTGTCTCTGCTGACGGCCGCGTCTCGCGAATTCCCTCCTGCGGCTCTCAGAGGATGCAGCGACCGCGGCTGGCGGAGACTGAGCATCGGGGAAGGGACGAGGGAGTGGTTGCGGGGCGTGCGTGTGCTGGGTGCACTGACGGTGGCCCCGGGAGAGGCGGCGGCGCGCAGCCTGGACACCTGCCCCACGCCCTCCTGGGGACCCGGCAGCGGGCCCAGAAGCCGGCTCGGTGGCGGCTGGAGACCAGGAGCCCTTGGGGATGGAAGTGGGAGCGACTAAGAGGGCGCCGGCGGAGGAGAGGAGGGCTGTGCGATGGGGCCGCATTTCGGGGTACGCCAGAGCGCAGATGGGCCGAGGGAGCCAGGGAAGTTGCATTGTGGGAAGGGCGCAGCGTGAGGATGGCCGCGGGAGTGGCTGGTTCGCGCAGCCCAGCGAACTGCTGGCAGTGTCCGGAGCTGCGGGCCGCGCTGGGGCGGTGTGTTGGCTCCGGGGACCGCGCGGAGAAGGCCCGGGTTGGTGGGGGAAGGGAGGGGGCTTGCGCAGCGGCTGGGGGAGCGGGGCGCCCGGGCACCTTTGGAAACCCTTTGTCCCTACCCCGCAGTGGGAGGCGCCTCCCCTCTTCCGGATCCAGCACACCCGCAGACCTCGCCAGCCTTCCCCGAGATCGGTGCGGTGGCGCGCTCTTTGGGGGACTGGGTGTGACGCGACCCGATAGAATTGCCGAGCTCGGAGCGCGCACCTGCCTGGGCGCGAAGGGGCGCTCCAAATCCGGGGGCAGCGGGGAGCGAGGGAACAGGATGCAGGGGCCTGGGCAACTGGGCCCGTTTCCCTGTCTTTTGCCTACTCTTTGTTTCAGGCATAGACCCTTTTAACTGGGCACTTCCTTGCAGGGGAGTTGTGTTTCCTTAAAATGGCGTCAGGAAATCCCACCTGCGCCTCAGCCAATTGGGCTGTCATTACAGAGCGAATTTGCGGGGTGGAAACTCGAGCTCTTTATTGACAGGAATCGTTCAGTCTCCGTGTTGCATCAAAACAGGAAAGGAAAGGTGAATCATAATTCAAAAATTAATCTACCTGAAGCGTTTCAAGCGGGCAGACTGAATGGAGTAGCCATCGCTTTTTTTTTTAACCACAGCTGGAAAAGTTAAAGGACAACCAAATTTCAAACCCCTGATAACTAAAATCCTTTTTCCCTTCAAATGGCAACAAGTGGTTTTCATTGGTTCAGCAATAGCGTCCTGAGAACCCTATTTAGAAGGCATGTTCTTGAATAAACCTGAGAAATAAAAAATTCAGTGCAAACAGAAGGGGGCGAAATGATGGTAGCTTACCTTGGACAGACCTGCGTTCGAATTCTGCCTCTGACACTGTTGCCTTACCTGCTTCACTTTTGTCCCAGTCCTGTCTTCCCAACTCGTAAAACAGAGGGTTAATTGTACCCAGATCATGGCAATATTCTACAGGTCCTCAAAAAGTTGGTTCTTTCCCCCTTTCTTTCCTACAGGAAGCTAATTCAGTATGGAGTTAATTTTAAGTAATTTTAAGTAGTGTGCACCTTGCCTGACACAATAATTCTGATAAATAAGGAAAGCAATCCGAGGGGCGCCTGGGTGGCTCAGTCTGTGAAGCGTCTGCCTTCGGCTCAGGTCATGATCCCGAGGTCCTGGGATCGAGTCCCATGTGGGGCTCCCTGCTCAGCGGAGGGGGGCGGTCTGCATCTCCCTCTGCCTGCCGCTCCCCCTGCTCGTGCTCGCTCGCTCTCTCCGTCTCTCTCTGTCAATAAATAAATGAAATCTTAAAAAAAAAAAGGAAAGAAATCTGAACAGGCAAGGTAGGTAAACTGAGCATAGTTCCAAGGGCTGTTGAAATCTTTACCTTATTAGGCAGAATGTATATTCACCAATACTTGTTTGGAGAGCATCTGATCTCAAGCTCATCCTTTGATCAACTTATTTGCTGGTTTCTATGCACCCCAAGGACTGCAGTTACCTAGCATTTTTTAAATTGGTTTCAAGAGTAACGAATTGAACTTTTACTCCTTGAATTGGATTCAAGAGTAATGAATTGAACTTCTGTGCTATGCACTTTACATGTAAATATTATCTCATTTAATCCCTCCAACCACTCAATTAAGTATTATCCTCTCTGTATAAACAAGAAAGCAGGCTCAAAGAGGATGAATTGTCCCTGTTCATTTAAGACAGAATGCGGTGAAGGGGGAAGCCAGGAAGTGATTGCTGTTCAGGTCTCAACTGAAAGTCTATGCTCAAGTCTTACCCATGATGCTACAACCTCTTGCAACTAGACACCTGTGGTTCTCGAGTTGAGGAGGATCTTCAGCCCTCATCTGGGTTTTAGTTGACAACCTGGAATGAGAGTGTAAGCATCAACGTGGAGGCTGAAAGGAAGGGCTGCTGCTATGTGGAGAACCGGGGGGAGAAGGAGGGAAGAGGTAGTTAGTGTTCAGGATGAGTGCCTGCTCACTGCACTGTGTGGTTTTCTTCAGGACTGCTTGTAGGCATAACTTCCTTTCAGCAGCTCAGCCCCTAAACGCAATTGCTGTGGTCTCAAATGGGGGCAAAGGGTGTCATGATGACAGCTTCCCCAGTCACTGTGTGCTTGCTGAGACATAAGCAGCAGGACAAGCCCTTCACAGATGGCTTCTTATTTAATCCTCACGACATTCCTAAGAGGTGCAGACCATCCTAATCCCCGATTCAGACGTTGAAGAAATTAGCCCAAGTTCAGACAGGTCTAACTGGCCCATCTAGCTCTAGAATCCCGATCTGACTCCAAAGCTGATTCTCTTGTGTCTGGCTCTAAAATGTTCCCCAGTGCGAGAAGAACCCTCTTTGAAGAGCCAGGAGGTGGCACAGGTCCCAGGCCACTCTGCCTTCAGGTAGGAACCACTGCCCTGTTTCCAGAGAGTCCAGGGAGTCCGTTTGCCCTATACTGGGTTTGTGAGCTCCAAGGGCATTGTCCGTGGTATCTAATGTTCCCCGAACGGAAGGTAGTCAGGACACGTTCACAGGTTGTACTGCGGGCTGCCCTATGAAACCAAGAAAATAACATTTCTGTGTCTGCTCTGAAGGTGATGCTGGAGAAAGAATCTAGACTGTGAAAGGAGAACTGAATCACCTGGGGTCACCTGGGTTTTCTGGTAGCCCCACAGGTCCTTTCCGAATGGCTCCAGGAAGGAAGGGTGGCTTTGTGGAGAAAGAGCCCCAAAGAGGATTCAGCCTGAACTTAAGTCACATCTGCTCTCAATCCAGCTTCATCCTGTCATCACCTCGGGTCGCATTCACTCCCCATGTGGGCTGCCCGTGAGGACAGCTGGAAGGATCCCAGCTAGCTGTGCACTTACAGAGACACCGTGCTTTCCTCTGCAGGGTTTCAAAACGTTCCAAATACATCTGGCCCCGCTACTAGCAGACTTCTTGTGGATGCATTGTGAGTCATAGGATAAATACTCTCTTCTGAATATGTCGTTTTTCCTTTTAATCTGTAAAGGACTGTTTTCGGACAGTCTGAATTTTAACAACGATGAAAAAAGAAAAGTCAACTGGTGAGGTTAATTCAGAATAAGCGTCCTGTACATTTTCTACTTGTAACAGAAACAGTACAGCCATCTGTGAACAAAACCTACCTTGTTAGAAAATAAGTTATTTATTCTGAAATCAGGTTTTTAGTCCTATTTATAGGAATGTCTAAAATAACAGATGGTCTTTAAAATTATTGGTTTTGGGGCACTTGGGTGGTTCAGTCAGTTAAGCGTCTGCCTTTGGCTCAGGTCATGATCCCAGGGTCCTGGGATGGAGCCCCACATCGGGCTCCCTGCTCGGCGGGGAAGCCTGCTTCTCCCTCTCCCACTCCCCCTGCTGTGTTCCCTCTTTCACTGTCTCTCTCTCTCTGTGTCAAAAAATAAATAAAAAATCTTTAAAAAAATCATTAAAAAAATTTTTTTTTAATTATTGGTTTTCCTTTTGTTGATGTGATCACATTTCTTTGCCTCATAAACCCTTTTTACCATTCTTGTTCTTTGGATAATCTTCTGCAGAGGTGACAATATTTTGGCTCTAGGAGTTAAACAGCCACAGGAAAAAGTAATTTGCAACTAAGGGAGTTCCCAGTCCTCTTGGCCATCTTTCTGCAGATACATAGCACTGTGTGAACTCACCCTTCTCAGTAGCACTGTGATGGACAGAGCCTACTGTCACTTCTTCCAGCACTGAGATGAACATTCTACCTCCCTGGATTTGTTTTTCTTTTCTTCTCTTTTTTTTTAAGATTTTATTTTTTTTTATTTGGTGGGGGTACAAGGGGAGGGACACAAGCAGGGGGAGTGGGAGAGGGAGAAGCAGACTCCCCACCAAGCAGGGAGCCTGACGCAGGGCTCAGTCCCAGGACCCTGGGATCATGACCTGAGCCAAAGGCAGATGCCTAACTGACTGAGTCACCCAGACGCCCAACCTCACTGGATTTGTAATTGATGGGTTCTGGCAGGAGGTCAACAATCGCCACTGACTCTAAACTGAATTTAATTAAAATCCCAGAGTGGGCTTCTGGAAAAGTGTCTCTTGCCTCTGATTTTGGCCCAGGTCAGCTTAGTAGGGTCATTTTTTGTTTGTTTTATCTCTTAGGGGAGCAGGGAGTAGGGTTCATGAAGTATTGTGATTGTATGACAAGATAAAGACCCAGGGCTGATGATCAGTCCTGAAGGTTTGATGTCTTAATTTACCTCACATTTATGCATCATTGTGCAAGTCAACTGTGAGTGTA